GAAAGACAAATATTAGTTTCAAAATGGAATTAGGTATATTAAAATTATATTTGAATTTCACTGTGTAGGAGAGATATATGACTTAAACCCTGCCTTCAGTAACATTTTAATAAATAGAAGTATATTTTGTAATTCTAGGAGGAGTTGATGCTCAAAGGGATATTGTATGTGGTTAGTCCTTTTACTAATTTAGTTTTTTCCCAAGTTTCAACACATTAGTGTGAACACTTGGCCAGCACAGTAACAACACCAGTTAGTAATGTTGATTTATGCTAGAATGGAAATTGTACTGACTTAAGCTCTATTGCTGGTATGACCACAAACTAGCCATGTAATCTTAGATAAATTTACTTCTTTGGTCCTGTTTCCTTATTTGTCAAATGATGATCTCCAAGTTCCCTGCAGTGCCTCTATTGAATAGTTCTGTGAGTTGGTTAAGCACTTCTGCTTTAGTGTCCAGCGGAGAGAATTTTTTCCTGGGTGTGTCTCTGTCTTTGTACGAGCCTTTCCAAGCAGAGGCAACAAGGTAGGCAAGAAGAAACAACCATAGAATCGAAGCACCAGTGCATCTAATGTCTCCTGACTCTTGCCCTCACTCCTGCCTGAGCCTTCACTAAGCAGTTTCAAACACAGTGCATGGTGCCTCTGAGGTACCAGTAGTAGCAGTGATAGGGGCTAAAATACAGTCTCTCTCCTAGTCTCCAAAGGCTTCCAACACACACACACACACACACACACACACACACACACAGGCACACATACACACATACACACACAATCACACACAATCTACGTCTTTGTTTATATTCTCTGCTGTGACCAGTGTTCTTGGAGTATGATAGGATTCTTAGAGGTAGGGATTCAGTTCCTGGTTTGGATCCCATCGGAACATGGATCCTCTTGTTCTACAACCAGAACATTGTTGCCACCACCTTTAGGGGGTTTTTTGGCTTAGATGGTCCAAGTCCCAAATCTTATGGGCTTCCATAGTGGTTTTCAAATGTGGTTCACAGACCAGGACTAGCAGCTTACAAAGATTTCACTGGTCCACAGTGAAATGAGAAAAACTTAAATCAAACTAAAACTGTTCATTGTAAAGGATTGGACTTCTTTCTTAGACTATATCCTTCAAAACATTTGAATGTTAAAACAACTCCCTTCTTTTATGAAATGCAAGTGCAAGTGGCATGTAGGTATAGTGTTCCCTCACCTTCTGCCCCTTGCTTGTATCCCTAATTGAATTCTTAAGTTAGTCCCTCTCTATAAAAAACAAAAGTAAAACAAAACCAAAAAACAAATGAAACACTGGGCCTGAAATCTAAAAATTTGGGGATCTCCTGCTACTATAGAGGAAAGCATTTTCTTCATAGAATTATTTCAAAGCAGTAAATATTCCAATTTTGTTAATATGTGGAATGGTGTCCATAATTTTCAGCTTCTCATGGAGCAACAAATCTGTTCCAGGTTGA